CTCGGCACATGGAAGGGTAGCCTGGCCAGTGCATTAAGATTGAACCCGTTCTTGTCACTTGCAACATGATTGTTGTCTGAAACAACAATATGGATTCCAGTATAAAACCAAGCGTCTCCTACACTACAGATATATATATATATATATATATATATATATATATATATATATATATATATATATATGGGATTGTGTAATAGAATGCTTTGCTTTTGACTGCTAAACTGAAAGTACGCATCCCGGTGCTCGAGTCCCCAAGTCCATCCATCACACGCGGGAAAGAAAAGTGCTGACCACACTATCCCTTTCCATGATGGGAAACAGGTAAATTCTAATTCACCGGCCTCAAGACCCATTAAGTTCAAATATATATATATATATATATATATATATATATAAACAATTGAAAGTATGTCCATCTCTGGTTGGCTAAGATCTAAGACCACAATCCATGTTACCTACAAAGAGATGAAGTTTTATGATGGGTTAGAAACAGGTGGGGGCTGAGTATCATGCAGGTAAGAAATGTTGAGGGGGAAGCATCGTTATGTGTCTGTTTACTTCCCTGCTGGACCATTAGGGTCATAAATTACATAACATGCTGCCCATATTGGCTGAGATCTAAGAACAACAGTGGTTGTTACCTCAAAAGTAGATAAGCAGTTTAAGGTCGATCAGTTAGGTGACTGAGGTCGATCAAGTGACTGAAGTCGATCAGGTGACTGATGTCGATCAATTAGGTGACTGAGGTCGATCAGTTAGGTGACTGAAGTCGATCAGTTAGGTGACTGAGGTCGATCAAGTGACTTAGGTCGATCAAGTGACTTAGGTCGATCAAGTGACTTAGGTCGATCAATTAGGAGACTGAGGTCGCTTATTTAGGTGACTGAGATCGATCAAATGACTGAGGTCGATCAAGTGACTTAGGTCGATCAATTAGGAGACTGAGGTCGCTTATTTAGGTGACTGAGATCGATCAAATGACTTAGGTCGATCAAGTGACTGGTGTCGATCAGTTAGGAGACAATAAACTGTAAAAGGGTAAACACCTGCTTCTCAAAGCAATGAAAATTAATTACCTTTAATTGGATGAAATCATTAAATTTTTAATGAATGAAATCCACTGAGGATATAATATTGATCGTGAATTGATCTGACTAAAATATGAAGGAAACATAACTGTCGTCGTTGATGGTATAGCTTTGGGAGTGGGTTATCTTGGTTGTATGTGCTTAAGGATTGGAGCGTCAAATGGGTGAGGCGTCACATACGTACACCTAACTAGAGGGCGCCTAATGGGTGGGGCATGAAATATATACACCTACTAGTGGGGCATCAAATACGTACACCTAACTAGAGGGCGCCTAATGGGTGGGGCGTCAAATATATACACCTAACTAGTGGGGCGTCAAATGGGTGGAGCATCTAATGAGTGGGGCGTCAAATATTTCACCTAACGATGGGGCGTCTAATACGTATATGTAACAAAAACCACGCTGCTGGACGTATTTAGTGACATGGCCATATGTGGTGGGCGTATGGCTCATATTTGTGGTCATACATACCATTACAAATACGAAACCACTGACTGACAGTGAGCCACATCACCGTTGCTTGCAATCAGCTCTTCGTTTAACTTAACCCAACTTTCAACTGAATCGAGATTAGTTGTTGCCGCCCCTGACTTCGATGTAGGTAGAAGGTTCAATTCTACAAGAAAACCTGTAGCTATTTATACACCATAGTAGACCCAAACACCCAGCATAAGCAGGCGTGCGCTCCCTCTGCAGGTATTTATTTCTATCGATTTATTTTATATTTTAGCTCTTTCGTCGAAGATGTTATTTTACACGCTAGTTGATAATGTTGATCATACATACGTTGTTCGTTTAGTAAGATAGTATTTCAACGTTATAAATTAACCTACTTGTTTCTTTTTCTACAAGTACTGGTCGGGGGGGGGGGGGTGTGAAGGGGGAACCAGCTGTTTCCAGGAGGTTCATGGAATTTGAAAAAGTGCCCCATACCCTAAATGTGAAATTTTTATTGTATAAAGCCTAAATTTTATGCCTTTGTATGGAGGAATAGTAAAACACTAACAATTTAAAAAAAAAATCAAAACTCTAATAGGACTATTACATCATCTTCCTTAGGGACAACCGACATTTTCTTTCCTGGGGGCCCACCGGGATTTTTCTAATACGGAGACAAAATCATTTTTATTTTTTCGTATACTAATTGTAGAGGACAAATCTCGACGTTTTATACCTCCCTGAGTCGGAAAATCCAATTTTGTCTGTATGTTTGTGCGTCTGTCTGTGAACACGATAACTTAAGTACCGTTTCACTTAAGTTGAAAACATTTCATTTATTATAAATATTTAAATTATACCAAATTTTTAGTCCCCTCTCAACTTTTGAGCATTTTCCGGTAACAGGAAAAGGTACTTACTTCCGGTTTCTCAAAAGCTAACATCTTCAATGCCATTTCAATATCGCATGTAAGCCTAACATTGAATGCGCGGGTAAGTAACGAATTCTGAACGGTTTCCGGTAAACGGAAGTGTAACTTTATTCTATTTCAGTGAGAACTCGATGAATCCCATATATGACCATTTGAACTAATACTTGGATCTTCTTCAATTCTTGAGTGACCTCCGATATCCGGAAGTGGTACTTTATTTCTGGTTTCTAAAATACCGACAACATGAGTACAATTTCAGGTGGGTGGACTAAATTTCATACATACGTATAAGATCTTTTCACTGATTTTTTTCCCACATTTCGAGCGATTTCCGGTGACGGAAAGTTGTACTTTACGTTGTTTTAGATTTCTCAAAAAAAAAAAAAAAAAAAAAAAAAAAAAAACTCAACATAAGAATGTAGGCCTATTTATTTTGATTTCTCTGTCTATCAATATCATCCGTCATAGATGGAAACTCGCGAGCAAAATTTCGACCACTTCTCCCGTACCGATTTCTCTAATACTTATCACGTATGTCGAGGCTCGAAGACAATGCGTTGTGACATAACATGTCGCCGAATTAGACGTTTAATTAAATTAAAAAAAAATGCATCACTGTTTTCTGTATAAAGCACTAATTTTCCGCTTTATTATACACATACTGTTTGCGTGTATTCGCAGCTGAAGTATTTTATCTATCCGATTGTATTCTATTTAAAAAAATTATATACGAGAAAGTTTGGGGGAGACAAATCCTGCTATTTTAAGACCGCGGGTTTGATGTTTCAGTGTTGAGGGTTCGCAAATTACCCGAAGAGTGATGGCAAATTCTGCTATTTTAAGACCGCGGGTTTGATGTTTCAGTGTTGGTGGTTCGCAAATTACCCGAAGAGTGATGACAAATCCTGCTATTTTAAGACCGCGGGTTTGATGTTTCAGTGTTGAAGGTTCGCAAATTACCCGAAGAGTGATTTGGCCCAGTGCTGCAAAATTAAACAAAGCGGCTGACGTACTCTGAAATACAACGCCTCGCTATGCGAACAATTCGGGATGTAAACAATTCAAGATGCAAACACCTCAAGTTGCGAACACTTCGAGATACGAACACCTCGAAATGCGAAAACCTAGAAATGCGAACTTTTCGAGATACGAACGCCTCGAGATACGAACACCTAGATACGAACACATCGAGATACGAACTCTTCGAGATACGAATACCTCGAGATACGAACACCTAGATACGAACACCTCGAGATGCGAACTCTTCGAGATACGAACACCTCGAGATACAAACACAAAAACAAAATGTGAAAACCTCAAAACGCGAAATCTTTGAGATACGAACACTTAAAAAAGTGAGAACGCGAGCAGCACACGCATAACTAAGTGAGTCATAATTCGTAAATCGTGATACTGTCCAGTTTTCCAATATAATAGCGTACCTCTATCCTAGCCAAGATCGTAGTCTGGATTCTCCTCGCTGCCGTGCTGGTACCTACGGCTCATGCCTGCAAGACAACAATACGACCCTTGACTCTTGAGATGAAAGAGAACTTTCTGTATGGCATCAATGATGAGCGCAGATCGAAGCGGCGAAAACCCGTGGTGAGTACTGAGGGTAGAAAACTTCATTAGCTTTCCTGATATCACACGCTACCAAAAGCTACACAGATTACTACTAGCTACATCAAGTCACCCTAGATACCTCTAGCTACCCAAAACTACCCTAGATACCTCTAGCTACCCCAATCTATCCTAGATACCTCTAGCTACCACAAGTTACCTAGATACCTCTAGCTACCCCAAGTTACCCTAGATACCTCTAGCTACCACAAGTTACCCTAGATACCTCTAGCTACCACAAGTTACCCTAGATACCTCTAGCTACCACAAGTTACCCTAGATACCTCTAGCTACCCCAAGCTACCCTAGATACCTCTAGCTACCTCTAGCTACCCCTAGCTACTCTAGATACCTCTAGCTACATCAAGTTACCCTAGATACCTCTAGCTACCACAAGTTACCCTAGATGCCTCTAGCTACATCAAGTTACCCTAGATACCTCTAGCTACCCCAATCTATCCTAGATACCTCTAGCTACCCCAAGTTACCCTAGATACCTCTAGCTACCCTAGATACCTCTAGCTACCTAAAGCTACCCTAGATACCTCTAGCTACCCCAAGTTACCCTAGATACCTCTAGCTACCCTAGATACCTCTAGCTACACAAAGCTACCCTAGATACCTCTAGCTACCCCAAGTTACCCTAGATACCTCTAGCTACATCAAGTTACCCTAGATACCTCTAGCTACCTCTAGCTACCCTAGATACCTCTAGCTACCACAAGTTACCCTAGATACCTCTAGCTACCTCTAGCTACCCTAGATACCTCTAGCTACCCTAGATACCTCTAGCTACCTCGAGCTACCCTAGATACCTCTAGCTACCCTAGATACCTCTAGCTACCTCTAGCTACCCTAGGTACCTCTAGCTACCCTAGATACCTCTAGCTACCTCTAGCTACCCTAGATACCTCTAGCTACCCTAGATACCTCTAGCTACCTCTAGCTACTCTAGATACCTCTAGCTACCACAAGTTACCCTGGATACCTCTAGCTACCTCTAGCTACCCTAGATACCTCTAGCTACCTCTAGCTACCCTAGATACCTCTAGCTACCCCAAGTTACCCAGGCTACCACTAACTTCATTGGATACTCCTAGCTACCACAAGTTACCCTAGATACCTCTAGCTACCCCAAGCTACCCTAGATACCTCTAGCTACGTCTAGCTACCCTAGATACCTCTAGCTACCCCAAGTTACCCTAGATACCTCTAGCTACCTCTAGCTACCCTAGATACCTCTAGCTACCTCAAGTTACCCAGGCTACCACTAACTTCATTGGATACTTCTAGCTACCACAAGTTACCTTAGGTATCACCAGCTACCCGGAAATAACCTAACAACACAATCTGCCAAAGCCGGAGGTTTGGCTAGTTGCCACATTCGCTGGCGTTATCGAAATTCGACCGAAACGTATATATATATATATATATATATATATATATATATATATATATATATATATATATATATATATATATATATGTAACTAGTAGAGTTACCAGAGACATAAGAACGTATTACAGCGCTGTCAACTTTGACATGACCAAGGCCAAACGGGGCTGACGTAACAGTGCAGGTGGTCTAATAATTGGATTGTACGACAGAGCTGCGCAATTAATATTCTGATGCAACGATTAGAATCGATTACGATTACGAATACGATTACGAATACGATTACGAATACGAGGAGATAAAATAGGAAGGGACAGTTGAGAAGTGGAAGCCGAACTGTAGAGACGTGTTTGGCAGTATCAAGTTGGTTATTGAACGGTGTAGACGTGTGTGTTAGAATAGGAAGGATGGACACGTGCATTCTGTTATGTTAGGACTAGTGAGGACAGTGGGGGTCAGTTGGTTCATTTTATTCTTATGGAACATTGGTACATTGTTATGTGGAGCATTTCTATTGATTCATGTAATAAAGAGATCGATGTAAACCTGCATTTCCGAGTATCTATATTGTGGTCGATGTTGTGTGCTGGTCAAAGGTAGCACGAGTAAATACACTCGGTAACATTTGGCTCTGTCAGCAGTGAAATCGGTAACATTTGGCACTACAAGCAAATAGACTCGGTAACATATATATATATATATATATATATATATATATATATATATATATATATATATATATATATATATATATATATATATATATATATATATATATATATATACATGACAAAAACCGAACCGAGCTATTATGTAACCGTGACATAAACATGATATATATATGTATGTATATATATATATATATATATATATATATATATATATATATATATATATATATATATATATATATAATGAACTTATACAAATGGACTAAGGTATGGAACGATGCCCTGGCTGAGTTAGCCCAACAGATTCTAGCACACACCTGTACACCGGTCACAGGTCACAAATTAACAGAAGGAGCTTATCTGGCCTATTGTCGGTATCCGGGTGAGTCGAACAAAGGAAATCTCGCTTATTGATATATATATATATATATATATATATATATATATATATATATATATATATATATATATATATATATATATATATATATATACGTATATTTCTCCTCTGCAAAAATTTCAAGTATATATATATATATATATATATCTATATATACATATATATATCTATATATATATATATATATATATATATATATATATATATATATATATATATATATATATATATATATATATATATATATATATATATATACATATCTATATATAGATATGTATCTATATATATATATATATATATATATATATATATATATATATATATATATCAATATTTCAAGTATATATATATATATATATATATATATATATATATATATATATATATATATATATATATATATATATATATATATATATATATATATATATATATATATATATATATATATATATATATATATATATATATTATATCATGTATACATATCTCAATACTTTCACCAGGTGGCTTTAAACCGGAAGCAGTGGCAGACCTGTGTAGTTATAAAATGGCGACAGATGAGATGGTAAATGTGTGTGCACGTGTGAGCAAGAGTGTGTATGTGTTTAAAATTTCCGATCGCGTCCAACCTACCCCTACCCGTCTCCCACCATGAAGACACTCATCACAGTTGGGGGGGGGGGGTCACTCATCAGAGCTGGGGGGGGGACGACGACTCGCGGGTCGTACTACTGACATGAACCCGGATTCGAACTCGAGACTTTCGGGTTAGCAGTCTAGCTTGAAAGTACTCTAGATCTCTAACGCTAGGCCACGCCGTCCCACACATATATACACTGTAATAAAACATAATAAAACATTTTCCCACGAAATTTAACACAATGAAAATGTATTATTATTGGTTTGTATTTGCTCATTTTTCCGTTTGCTCATTTTTTCGTTTGTTCATTTTTCCCGGGAAACCCCTTCTACATACACCGTTCACATAAACACACCTACGCCCGAACAGGTCTGAGCTTTAAATACGATTTAATCAAGGTTAGTTACTGTGCACGAGGACATGAGAAAGCACACATTTAGTAAGAATAAACATAAAAACAGTTATCGTATGATCACAATCTGTTTCATTAAAGATGTACATAACCTCGAAAGCGAGGTTGGTCGGCTGCGCAATGACCATATGTAAAGGTGTCTTTGACTCCGACGATCAATCGCTGTGTCTTCTAGCACCAAAAATAGTGAGTGATTCAATATCTTTTGCTTTTTTTCTTAAGAGATAACCTTTTGGTGGTTATAAAATATTTTTTTTTATAAATGAGATTTTTTTTTAATTAGCGAGAATTAATTTTTTTACGTTTGAAAATGAAGTGTGTTTTGTTTTATTTCTTAATAAATGAGAAATTTTTGTTTTTCTTTACTTTTTACGTTTTAAAAAATAAAAAAAAAAGATTTTGAACTCAACTCAATATGCAGATCTACTCGATCAAAGTTCAATAGTTTCAAAGAATGGGCGATATTGCTACGCAGAGTGGCCACACCTGCCTTTAAGAAATTATTACCTAATTCCCTGTGGCGCTACCTACCGGCGCTTTCTTAGCAATACGGCCCATGCAATTGTGAGAGTATATGAAGTTCAATATCATCAAATATTGATCGTAACAATGCAGGACAAATCTTTGAGTTGAATATCAACAAGTACGGGGCATTGATCGTAACAATGTAGATCAAATCATTCAAGTTGAGTGTTGAGTTGCTGCTTTGGATATATGACTTAAGTCAACTTTTTAAACGAAAGGAAATTTACCGGTGTAGACCTAGTAGTTTCATGATTTTAACTTTGCTAGGTATATATATATATATATATATATATATATATATATATATATATATATATATATATATAATTTATTTATATATATATATATAATTTATTTATATATATATATACATAAAGGCAATATATATATGCATACATAAAGGCAATATATATATATATATATATATATATATATATATATATATATATATATATATATATATATATATATACTATTTCCATTGAGCAGGATATGTCCGAATCTTGAGCCGTATATTGAAGCAGGTAACGATACAGTTGCTAACGACGATTGCAGTACAAGAATCAAGGATGGACTGGGCGGAAACATTGTTAAATTTGATGTACATGGTTGCCAGTTTTATGTTAATGGCGTGATGAACTTTCATTCAATATTATCATGCATGTAATATGTTACATTTATTTTAAATTACTTGTTTTAATTAAACAAGATTTTTACTTGCGCGCGGAATTATTGTTAACGTGTAGTTTACTAACCGAAAGTGAAAGATGACTATTGAGTGTAAGAAACACTTGTTTGCAGACACAGTTGCATTTTCCCGACGTATCGCCTCAACGATACGAAAACATGGACAAGAGAGATATCAATGATTAAAAAAAGCTAAAGCCAACTCCCCCCTCCCCTTCTTAAATACCCGCCCGTAGCCTTCGTTTACAGAACCAATTATGAAATCACCAAAACACAACATAATCGACTATCCCTAATATATTGTTCTGGAATATCCTCAAATATATCACCTATGGTGACCGGAAAGATGCGAAACGAAAGACTGCGCGCATAACAGAGCGCAAAGGAATTTTTATTTTATTTTTTTGAATCGAGCATTCACCTACATAAAAACAGTGAAGACATGTACACTGTAGCATAATTAAACATAGTTCCACAAAATACGACAAAATTAAAGTGTATTAATATAATCTAAAGGCGGCAGTGCATAATGCTGACCACACTGTCCCTTCATATACCGAGGTCAATGAATCAGATGAAATCTACTTCATCTACCCCATATGTCTTGGGCACGAACTGGCTTAAGAAGAAGAATATAATTAGTATTTGTGCATTTTTTCTGTTACGCAGTTTTCCGTTGCGCATTTTCCGATTGTGCATTTACACTGCCAATCGGTTATAAAAATATATAAAATAAGTATAACAATCATTATAATAAAAATCTACACATGTAAAAATATGTAAGAAAAATAAACACACCATTTCCTTAGTAATATAATTAAAAGTGAAACCTTTGATCACGCTTGTAATGTTTTAGATACATTTTGCCTAACGCTTTCTTTAACTATCTGTGCTAGGAAAATTGGTAAATTTAGATTTAAATGAATTTCTTACACATTTTATCTAATTTTATAAAACACCGAAACATCTTTTTCCGAGCGCACACTTCGAAAAAAGAGAGGGGAAAAACACATTTTACAAAAGTATTACAACACCGTTCTTTCCATGTTTTAAATTGTTATGAATCTACAACGCAGCAAGGGAAATAATCATGAATAATTTAATTTATTATTGTATTTCTTTGGTTCTCTCTCTTGTATGGATACAAAGTTAAAGATATGGTCCGCTTTATAAAAAATGCTCCGGCGGCAGTGGCTCCACCCTCCCTTCTCGAAGAGTTGCTCGAAAGAAGCATAGAGTAGAAGAGTGTATAGAACAGGGGTCGGCAACCTTTTGAGAAAAAAGAGCCAAAAGTTACAATTTACAACATTACCCGGTTTTTAAAGAGCCACTAACATTTTTATGTCAATAGTATATTTGTTTAGGATTATATATATATATATATATATATATATATATATATATATATATATATATATATATATATATATATATATATATAATCCTAAACAAACATATTATATATGTAATTTTAAATAAATAGCTCTTTAGTATATGAAATAATCTCATTTGAATATGTGTTGAAAGGATCTAATATGTAAGTCAGAGTACTTGCATTTGTTTTGGATTGCTCAAATCTCTCAGTGAAAACATAATTCATTTTGTTTATATTAATGCTGAAGTGATTGAATAGTAGCATTGGTTTCATAACGATATTTTTTCAGATTTTCGTAATTTAGTAATTTACCGCTCACCATGTATTCAACAAAAATGTATTTTTTTTCGAAACAAATCACTTCTTCAAGCAAGACATAATCGGGGTTTTCCTTTCAGTTATACACTAATTACTAGCCGTCCCGGCCAGGCCCTGCTCTGGCTTCTGTGAAAAACCTTCCTGTTAAAGACCATTACCTGTGTGTTTAGTAATCATCATAAACCCGGCATTGCCCACCCAAACCACAACCAACCAAAACCAAAACAACAAAACGCAAACATAACGCTAACACAATTACAAATACAAACAAAAACAAAAACTTAACAACAAACACAACCACACCCACAAACACCAATACAAACACAAAGAAAAAACAAACAAAAAAGCAAACGAAAACAAAAACCTAACAACAAACCCAACCACAAACACCAATACCAACAAAAAAAAAAATCAACGAAAAAAGCAAACGAAAACAAACCAAATCCAAACGCAAAACCAACCAAAAACACAAATACAAACCCAAACAAAAAAAACACAAACAAAAACGAAAAAAGAAAGAACAAAAACGAACCAAATTAAAACGCAACCACTAACGCAAACCCACCTAAACACAAAGAAAACACTAACGCGAACATAAACGCCCGGGGCGGAATCACCTGTTTTAGCTTAATGAACGACTATAGTACCCCAACTTATTCACAGTCTTTTGCACTCACTTAAACGAACGCGCCTGTTTCAATTTAATAAACAATTTTAATACTCCAAGCTTATCCGTAAAATACCTAAAACATTTGCACTTGATCAATCCCCGCTAATTATGTAATTATTTTTTTTCCCAACACCAAAACAAAGTAATTACAAAGTAAATTATTTTCACGGAATGCAATGGTTTTATAAAGGGAAGTAATTGTGTTTTTCCTAATTTATCAAAGGGAAGTAAGTGCTATAGGACTAAATAAAGACATAATTAGAATTTTTGTAAAAGATGATATTTTTTTTAAAACTTGTGTTTAATGAACATGCCGACAATTATTACTGTAATTTGAAAAATGAAAATTATTTCCCAACACTTTCAATAGTAATTTTTTAGCTCATAAATTTAGACAAATGCGCACGATAATTTTCTAACTTTTAAATTCGTACAATTCCAACGACATACATATGCATTACATACAGAACTGAGCTTTATATATTAGATTAGCTGGTTTAGTTTATTTGTGATATCTACTATGAAGTTGAATGTTTCAATTCGGAATGGACAATGTAATAGGAAGTACATTGAGATAGGGAGTAACTAAATATTATAATATAACAGTGAATGTTTATTGTTTATATCTATTGTTATATCGTTTTATGTCCGAGTGTTGCAGACTAATAATTTTATGAGTTTTGAGAATAAAATAAATGAATTATTAATATTTGTGCACGGAGCTGAAGAGCCGCAATAGGACATCAAATTAGCCGCATGCGGCTCGCGAGCCGCAGGTTGCCGACCCCTAACATAGATGGATAACGGCCTACCGAGAGATAGGACGTATTCTATATCTTGAATACTTTGTCCCATAGTTTTCATGGGAGTCAAAAATTTTCAATTTTATGTACTGGAACAGCAAATTATTAAAATGATTTTATTTTTATTTTTAACGTTCAAATAATAATAATAACATAAGTGTTTTTAAAAATTTATTGCCATATTTTAAATTAAACCAAATATATTTTACTCTTAATTATAGTTATTTCATAATATATTAAAATTAAAATAGAAGTTTAATGTAAACGTGTATAGCTTGAACTCCTGTTTTGCATTTACCTAACAATTTTTGTATACACATGTTAATTGTAGAGTTATTCCCCTTATATAATTTTTTCCTCAATACAATCGGCGTAAGCTGATTTACACTTCTGGCGTCAACTGAAAATCTAAATTTAATACCAACCCTTCCCCGTATAAATAAGTATATTTTAAACGACTTAGTATACATTGGGCCCTATATGTTAAGCGCTTGGTTTATTTTTTTTTTTTTTGCCATATCAAACAAAAACTGCTAGATCTAAGTATTAAACATTTATTTTTGTATTTTTTAATAGGATTTTTTCAGCTTTTTACTTTCTCGTATATACGAAGTATAGAGAAAGTCTTGTAATCGTGCAAAAAAAAAAAATCGAGATTTTTGCAAATCTCGACGTTTTGCATCTCACTGATACGGAAAAACATAATTTTGCAATCTTGTCCGTATGTCTGTGTGTCTGTGTGTGTGTCTGTGTGTGTGTGTGTCCGTGTGTAAACACGATAACTTGAGTACCGTTACAGCTAGGTTGATGAAATTTCATATATAAGTATTTTATCAAAATCGTAGATCCGTATCAACTTTTGAGCGATTTCCGACAACCGGAAGTGGTACTTTTTCTACTTTGAATTTTTCAAAAGCCTATAACTTGAGTACTATTTCAGATAGATAAATTAAATTTCACATGTAAGTAAAAGATCTAATTCTCTACCTTCTGTTAAATTTTGAGTAATTTCCGTTGACCGGAAGTAGTAATTTACGCTACTTCCGATTTCTCAAAAAACTAATGTAAATTTTTAAAGTAATAATAATATTGCGCACTATTATGCGCTTTTTTATTTCGCGTTCACTTGGTGTGCAATTAATTTGTCTACGAGATTTTATTCTATTTTTAAAACTTTAAGTATTTAAAATGGATTAAAAATCATGTCTATAGCCCGAGTTCCCATCCCCTGTTATTTTATATAAGAATATTCGAGAAAGTTTAGGGGAGATCACTCCCGGTTTATTTTTATAGTTGCCTTATAATTTTAACAATCATAAAATTTGTAAGTAGTAGTATCCTCGGGTTCACAACATCAATTTCTGTTTACACTAATTCTCGTTTTTTACTTTCTCGTATATACGAAGTATAGAGAAAGTATTGTAATCGTGCACAAAAATCACTTGAAATTTTAACAATTTTCACAGTCCTTCATCACATCCGACGTTTAGAGGACTTATTTTAATCGGGCAAAAATTATCAATCCAGATTTATCAAAACTAAGAGGTTTTATGCGTAATCCAGTCTGAAAAACCGGGCTTTGCAATTCTGTCCGTATGTCTGTGTGTGTGTGTCTGTGTGTGTGTCCGTGTGTAAACACGATAACTTGAGTACCGTTACAGCTAGGTTGATGAAATTTCATATATAAGTATTTTATCAAAATCGTAGATCCGTATCAACTTTTGAGCGATTTCCGATAACCGGAAGTGGTACTATTTCTACTTTGAATTTTTCAAAAGCCTATAACTTGAGTACTATTTCAGATAGATAAATGAAATTTCAC